CAGAAGCAGCTGATCCGTATCTCGGATTAAAAACAAATCTTGTCATGTTGTTCAACCTCATTTACAGGGGAATATTAGTTCCCGTTTCGAAGAAATTCGGATCCGAAATTCCTTAACGGAATTTCGTATTTCGGATATAATTCGGAAACTGCCATTCGGATTTCGGATGCTTCCGAATTTACGAATTTCAGGAAAATTTGTACGAATTTCGATTCGTAACGAAACGAATTGCACATGTCTAATAAATAAATGAACGTGCCAATAATGAACAAGGTCACCCCCAAACAAGACACAGTATACAGTATTAGTATATGAACAGGCCGCACTATCCAGAGAATTCCAATCCTTCAGACTTTATTGAAGTCACAGCAAATCCAGAGTAACATTGTACGTACCAGCAAATACCAGACCTCTATGAATAAGCCTAAGGCCTGGTAGACATGCGCGATTTGTTTCGTTACGATTCGAAAATTCGTACGAATTTCCTGAAATTCGTACGAATTTCCTGAAATTCGTAAATTCGGAAGCATCCGAAATCCGAATTGCAGTTTCCGAATTATATCCGAAATACGAAAATTCCCTTAACGGATTTCGGATCCGAATTTCGTTGAAACGGGAACTAATAGTATTACCCCTGTGACTGAGGTTGAACAACATGACAAGATCCGAAATACGAAATTCCGTTAACGGATTTTTGTTCCGTTGTTCCGAACATTCGTTATGATGAAGTTAATAAACAAAAATACCTTTGTTAATATATTGGAGTCGATGGAAGTCTTTTTTTTTAATACGAAATACGAAATTCCGTTACCATCGACTCCAATATTAACAAAGGTATTTTTGTTTTTTAACTTCATCATAACGAATGTTCGGAACAACGGAACAAAAATCCGTTAACGGAATTTTCGTATTTCCTGCCTGTAATGCAACCCTCAGCAGCAGAAGAGAAAACCTCTGATTGGTCAACCAAACAGTCACGTTTCCGTTGTGACAGAATTCGGATTCGGATCCGAAATTCGTCAATGGAATTTCGGATTTCGGATAAAAAAACAACTACCACATCGACTCCAATATTAACAAAGGTATTTTTGCTTTTTAACTTCATCATAACGAATGTTCGTACAGTTACGAAATTGTGCCGAAACTAACGAAAAATCCGTATTTCGTACGAATCCGAATTGAGTTTCGGATACGAATTACGAAATACGAAATAACGGATATTCCGAAACGGAACAAATTTTTTGACGGCGCACAAGTCTAAGGCCTGGTTCACACCTCAGCCTGTGAAAATCAATAATTGCCTATGGGCGTGGTTCCCACCTGGGCGTATTTCAGCGCGTAGGAACGCGCTGAAAAACGCCCTACGGCCAAAGAAGTACAGGAGCTTCTTTGGGGTGTATTTTCCCCGCTTATCCATTAGGATACAGCCGGATAGCCCTTGTAAACACGCTTTTGTCTCACGTTTCTTTTACCGCAGATCGCTGTAAAACCGCGCGGCAAACGCGCATATTCCGTATGCCCGGGTGCGAACCCAGCCTAAGGGTGAAACTTGTGAGAGGTTGTAGCTGGTTGGGGGATTCGGGTGCTGGTATTTGCTGTCACATACACCGTTAATCTGGATTGGAATAAAGTCTGCAGTATTGGAATTCTCTGGATAGTGCGCTCTGTTCGTATACTGCTGCATTCTAAGGTGGAGACGCACCTATTGGACCAGCACCCGGGGAGTCCTGATGGCGCATAAGGAATTGTAGTGGTTAGATTTATTTTGGCTCTACAGTATACTGGAGCAAACAAAACCCGGAGCAGTTGCCCATGGCAACCAATCAGCTTCTCTCTTCAGTTTGCTCAGGTAAGATTTGAAAATGAGAGAGAGATGCTGATTGGCTGCCGTGCAAATCTACTCCAGATTTATGTCTGCTCCCGTTTTGATAAATTCCCCTCCAGTATGTTTAAACCAACCAGCACTCAATAAAATATTAGAGAGAATGAGAATCTTCACTAGAGAAGGTAGAAGTTTGGTCAGTTACAGTGATTGACTCACAGGCAAGGAAGGGAGCCTTTTGTCTGGGGGGATAATACAACCAGTGGCGTCACAAAGGGGGTGTGGCCTGCACTCGGGTGCCACCATTGGAGGGGTGACACCAAAATGACTGACAATCATTTTATTGTCACCCTCTCTGAAAAGTCGGGCACTCGGTCCTGGACAGAGAGCCCAATAGTGTCACGAGAGAGGAGGGGACGGCATACCTCATCCTGCCCGGTGAACGTCCCCTCCTCTCTCTGCCGGCGTCCATCACCAAGATGGCTGCCGGCAGGCGTCAATAAGATGACCGTGCATGCGCAGTGACGTCGCGGCGGGGTGTCACACAGTCTCCGCTCCGGGTGACACCTGGCCTCAGGACACCCCTGAATACAACCAACCTGCCTTTTGATAGTAGACACAATTTCCTGTGGCTGGAGAACGTGCACCATGGTGTGTGCTGGGGTGTCACAGGGATTGCTGGGTATGGTGAAAAGTGAGTGTTCCTCAGCTTGGCATTTGGTCACGTGACATCTCAGAGAATGCAAAAGTTGATGCTGGAAGCCTCAGGATATTTCAAATTAAACCTGAACTCCGGTGGAATCACTAACTTCTACCCAAACCTCCCTCTCCCCAACCGAATGGCACGAAAATACAGTTCTTATTTTTTTGTGGTTAGAAAATGGCGGTTTTATATATTGTCCATGACACCACATCCCCTGACAGTGTCTGGCCACCAGGATGAGGTGGCCAGACACTGTCACACTACATGCGATGCTCATGTACAGATAAGGACGTCAGTGCTGCCTTGCCAGAACTAGAGGGACCAGAAGGGGACGGTAACAAGGACAGAGAGCAGCGGCAACTGGTCATCATTACCGGAAATGCCTTCCCTGAACCTCTGGGGTGTGCACCTTCATGGCGTACACCCCATGGCATGTATACAGACATTGCCATACAAGTAGAAAAAATAGGGCGCAAGACTGTGGCAAGATCAGGCAGTCATTGTGCAATAGTTGTGTATTTGTAACGGTCGGAGTTCAGATTTAACACATTTTTGTTTCCTTCATGGAAACGTGTATGTGTCATATGTATATGTTATATAATACCGTTATTCAATGCAATACAAAGAAAACAAATCTCATAATTATCTCAGTAAGTTTTATTATTTTGGTATTAGCACAAAAGACAATATGACCCAAAGCTACTGGCACAGTGCACCGTGTGATGTAGAAGAATTGGATAAATGACCAATATAGAGTATGTCCAAGTAGAAACGTGACATGTGAGATCCGATCTATAGAGCCGACCTGTGACAGTCTCATTGTCACACGTCGGCTAGAACTATGAGGAGGAGTGAAAATCACCCCCCTCATAGTCCTCCTTTAAATTACAGCAACTAGCCTTTAGAGTCAGAAAATACACATCATTGATTACAGAGGATTCCATTGCATTTAATGACAAGAGATCCCAAACATAGCGCTATCAGGTCATGCCTAGAGGAGGGAAGAAGAACATACACAGATGAAGTATAGCAGTAGGTAGGGAGGTGCGAGGTGAGTGGGTGGCACCACACCCCTATAACTGATAAAGACAAGCAAGGATTGGCTGCAAATGAGCTTAGGGTTTTTTTTTTCCAAGGTGCCACAAAGTACACACAGCTACAGGTGTGAAGTATAAATATAAAACCTTCCTTATTTCTCATAACAAGCTAAGGTGCCCATACACTGCACGATTCTCGTACGAGAAGCTGCAGTTAGTGACCGCTGAGGCAGGTGGCGCTGTGATTACAGCTTAAACGAGCAGCGGCTCCCACGGTACATTTAGCTCTGCTTTAGCGGGGATAAATGTAGAAAAAACTAGGGATTCGCTCCATAAGATGCACACACATTTTCGAAGAAAGGGTTTGTGTTCCTACCTGGAGATCCGACTGATTGTAATTACCCTGATTGAGTTTGCACAATTGCTTGTTTGGTCCGATCCGTGACCAAGTCAAACTGGTACAAAAAGAGAGAATTAACTCGTTAGGAGATAACGGGTTAGCAGCGGTCAACTTAGGGATCGGGACAAGCCAATTGATTGCAAAAAAAGTTATTTTATTGAAAACGACATTTAAGACAACACATTTGACCCACTAATTACCATTAAAAACTTGTAGATTACAGACAGTCATAAATTATACGTGGATCGATCCTCATTTACATTAACCTTGAATCCCCACCGTGGAGGGAAATGACCGATGTAGCTAGTACTTCAGTCTTTCTCCCTCCATAAAATTCCCCGTAAAATTACTTTTTTTGCAATCAATTGGCTTGTCCGGATCCCTGAGTTGACCGCTGCTAACCCGTTATCTCCTAACGAGTTAATTCTCTCTTTTTGCACACGCATTTTCCCCCCGCCTTTTGGGTGGAAAAAAGTGTGCTTTATGGAGCGGAAAAAAACGGTATATATAAATATTTTATTTTCTTTTTTTGAGTATGCAAAGAAATGAGAGATATGTAGGAGGAGATCTAGTGACTGTTTGTCCTCTAATGAATCCAGTTTGTTTTCCAGTTGACGAACGTTATAAAGGATTCATTCACGCTATGGGCTATAGCTATACAAGCACAATTCTCTCCTCCAGCCATATCACTCCATAGATTAACACATGTCCCAGATATCATGGCACCCTACGATGGGATTATGTGATTAGAACCAGGTTGGTTCTCTAGCAATCGAACTTCTCATCATCTTGGACAATCCATATCAGATGTGACACATTCCATGGTGATTGGACAAAGGTTGAATGAATTTCATTACGGGTATACTGTAAATGCGGGGCTATGCCCTTGAAACCCATTGGTGCTGAAAAAGCTATTTGGATGAACAGAAACATGTCCTCAACATTACAATAACAAGCCAGGTTAAATGTGACTAACTACTACTAGCTACACCATGACCTAGGCACATGAGGTGCTTCACAAACATAGCTATGCAAGGTTTAGGAATGCATTTGTTGAGAGCAAACAATACACTTCAACATCTGCTTTGCTTCTTCTTGCAATTTGGGGTTTCCAACGACCAAGAGGATGGCTTGTACCATGGTGTAGGAGGACAACAGTAGCAAACTTACCCAAAACTGGACGCTGACATGGGCAGCGATGGCAAAATAAAACAGAAGAGCACACAGGTAATACAACAAGTAAGCCAGCAATAGACGCTTTATCTTGGACACTGTGCTTCTGAATCTTTTTATTGCTTTGTTGTTTAAGGTCCCCATGTTGGTCTTCATGTTGTGGCTGTGCTTCTTCAAGGTCCCAGCGATACAAATGGTGGTGACTACAATGGTAAAGAAGGGTACAAAAGTTGGAATTAAAGTGATGTTAAAAAATTCCATGTCTGTCTTTGAGTTGTTAAAACGTATGACTGAATCATTCACGGGAGACCTCAGAGGGTTTATATAGAGCAGCATGCTGAGGAAACTGCTAAAGAGAGCCACCACCTCTGCCCCTACCATCATCCACGGCACAACAACATCGACGTTCTTCTTTGTCCAAACTATGGCCCTGGCTTTGAAATCCACAATCTTTATGAAGTAGAAAAAGCTGAGGATGGCGGTGAGCCAAGAACTGGAGCTCAGGGTAAACATGTTCAGAGAGTAGACGATATAAGTCAAGGTGGGGTTGATGATCTGAACGTGTCCGGAATGAAGAACGCCACTGAACACCGAAGCACACACTAAGACCGAGTAGCAGATATTCGATGTGCTCAGAGAGATCCGAATGATATTCCCCGTTTTGATCACCTTCTTTCCTTTGATGCCTTTGAGTATTATCACCATGACAATTGCATTGGAAAATGTTCCACAGGTGGTTTCAAGCAAAAGAACAAGAAGGCACGGCGTATAGGGAGAACTGCTGAGGATGGAAGCCATGGATCCAGATTCTGCTGTTGTCCAGAAGTGAAGCAAGAGTGAGCATGTGGTCTCCACACAAAGCTTCTCTCCTTCACATTTCCAGGTTTTAGTGTAACCCATGGGCTCCAGAGAGATATCATTTTAGAACCAGTAATGTCAATTTGCATAGTGCAAACCGTCAGCATTTTCCTATATGGATTTACATAGACACAGTGCATGGAAATACTCCAACATATCTCACCATTTCTGACTCATGAAGTTTCCAAGGAATCATTTGTCATTGTCTATGGAAGGCGCGGTTACCAGAGAAGGGAAGGTTGTGGAGTGTGTACATGTGGAAAGAACGTCGGATAAACACAGCGCGCAGTCCTGAAATGCTAAAGCAATGTTAAATGTTGGTGTAAAAATATCAGCTTAGATTACATGACAACCAGCGTTGTGGCTGTGGGGATTTGAACCTGGCTCTCTGAGATAGAAGTACTGAGGTATTGCCTTTCAACTAGACACGTGCAATTCGTTTTCGTTCCGAATCGAAATTCGGACGAATTTTCGGAAATTCGGACGTTCGGATGTAAACCGAATTCCCGAATTACAGACATAACGAATGCATTCCGTTTCCGAAATTCGGTAGCGGTAGTTCGTTCGAACGTTCGTTTCGTTTTCGTTTCGTTCGTTGAAGAAAAACATTTTTCTCCCTCAAATGTCACTTTGCTGCCAAACGAACGAACGTATGCACGAAACGAATAAGATACGAACGTTCGACCGAAATACCGCTAACAAATTTCGTCCGAATCCGAATTCCGAATCTGAATTGGCTTTCACACCCGAATCCCGAAAAACGAAATAACACAAATCCGAATTTAAAATGAAACGAAACTAATTTTTTGGCAGTGCACATGTCTGCTTTCAACCACCAGGAGGACTCAGCTTTGCAGCAGTTTTTCCTGTGTTGCACTGGTGGGGTTACTAAGCTTTAAAGGAGAACTATGGGGGAGTTAAGTCTTTTCCCCATAGTTCTCCTTAGGGTAATGGGAGGACACAAACTAGCGCTGTCAGCGTTGGCGGATCGGAGCGGGGAGGGGGGAATCCAGTCAGAGAGCAGAGAGCCGTGACAGGATCCAGAGGTGAGCGAACGCCGGTATGTGTTCGCTCACCTCCCGATCTACTGAGCCGACCTGTGACAGTCTCATTGTCACAGGTCGGCTAGAACTATGAGGTGAGTGAAAAGCACCCCCCTCCCCCCCCTCATAGTTCTCCCTTAAGAATTGTAATGGAGTAGGAAAACGTTTCACGTAACCCCCCCCACCCCTCCACCCCCAATATCTTGTTGTCTTAAACATGAAGATTAAAAAAATTGCAGCAGAGCAACTTAACAGAAATGAGAAGCTGAACCAGGCAAACTTCACATGCCATCCAACCCGCCAATCGGCATCAACTGTGAAAAAAATCTACGAGCTAAGAAGTAGTAAAAGAAGAACGCGAAGTACATTATTTGCCACAAGTATCCGACTTTTCCAAAATCTGATCTTTGTCTAGTGATAGGCCAACAATCTGAAAAAAGGGAAAACGTCCTTCCTGGAGACATATACAGGTGAAACTCGAATAATTAGAATATCGTGCAAAAGTAATTGCAGTAATTGCTGCAAAAGGGGCCCAAACCAAGTACTGAGTACATATGCATGCTTGTACTTCTCAGAGGTCCGATATTGTTCTATGTACAATCCTTGTTTTATTGATTGCATGTAATAATCTACTTTTTTGAGGTTGTGGATTTGGGGTTCTTGGGGTTTTCATGAGCTGTAAGCCATAATCATCACAATGATGACAAATCACGGCTTGAACTATCTTGCTTTGCATGTAATGAGTCTCTCTCATATATTAGTTTCACCTTTTAGGCCCTGTTCACATATAGCGAATTGTCGCGCGATTTCCGCCGCGATATCGCGCATTTTTGCCGCGCGATATCGCGAGAAGTCGCCGGCCAATGTTATTCAATGGAGCTGTCTTAACTCCATGTCGCGCGTCGCTCGTCGCTCGTCGCGGTCGCAAGTCGCTTCTACCGGACCCTTTTTTCTGCAGATTTTGCGCGATTTTGCTTTTTTTCTATGGAGCCCGACGGGGAAGGTCGCGCTACCGTCGCTGGATCGTCGCTGGAACGTCGCCCCGAAAGTCGCGCTATCCCGGCCGTGCGGATCTGCTGCAAAAGGTATGTCGCTAGGTGTGAATGGGGTCTTAAGTTGCATTAGTGAAATAAATGAACTTTGCCCGATATTCTAATTATTCCAGTTTCACCTGTATATCCGGAGTCAATATGGACATTGATGTTCCCGTTGCCTGTGGTGGATCCTTCCGTCATCTGCTGCACTTATCTCACAATGTTGGCACCTACCCTGTTTCCCCGAAAATAAGACCTAGTATTATTTTTGGGAATTGCTAATATAAGACCGACCCCGAAAAAAAGACCCAGTTGTGACCATTGGTGGTGGCATAAAGGGGTAACCTGAAGAGCCGAGGGAGAGAATCAGCGGTGCCAATGAATGGAAAGGTGCGGCACCCCTGATCGCCCCGATCACCCCATTCTTAACTAGACATGTGCGATTCGTTTCGTTACGAATCGAAATTCGTACGAACTTTCCTGAAATTCGTAGATTCGTAAGCATTCGAAATCTGAATGGCAGTTTCCGAATTATATCCGAAATACGAAATTCCGTTAACGAATTTCGGATCCGGATTTCTTTGAAACGGGAACTAATATTACCCCTGTAAATGAGGTTGAACAACATGACAAGATTTTTTTTTTAATCCGAAATACGGATCCGCTGCTGCTGATGCATTACAATACACAGGCAGGAAATACGAAATTCCGATGACGTATTTTCGTTCCGTTACGAACATTCGTTATATTGAAGGTAAAATGCAAAGTACATTTATACTGGCGTTGATGGGAGTTTTTTGTTATACGAAATACGAAATTCGGATCCGGAATCCGGAATCCGTTAACGGAATTCGTATTTCGGATAAAAAAACAACTACCATCGACTCCAATAATAACAAAGGTATTTTTGCTTTTCAACTTCATCATAACGAATGTTCGTAAAGTTACGAAAATGTGCCGAAACTAACGAAAATTCGTATTTCGTACGAATCCGAATTGAGTTTCCGACACGAATTAAGAAATACGAAATAACGGATATTCCGAAACGGAACGAAACGGAACACATTTTTTGACGGCGAACAAGTCTATTCTTAACTTTGCCATTTTGGATTATTTAATTTGGATTTGCATTAACTTTGGATTGTTATACATTAAAAAAAAAGACCTACCCCGAAAATAAGACCTAGTGTGTGTTTTTTTGAGCCCCCAAAAAATATAAGACAGTGTCTTATTTTCGGGGAAACGCGGCACGCCGTGACTGCTGTGAGTTCTGTCCGATATGTTTCCACTTCTCTATCGCCGAGGAGACTTTTAACGCTGAGTGCTAACGAGGTTTATAGGTCATTACACAAAGCTGTTGTTGTTGTGGCTGTGAGCGTGTTTGCTCTCCTTAGTGGTGCTTTGGATACATGCAAAGTCCCGGCCAGACACACTTACTGTTTACCTCACCAGCTGCTCGGCTATGTCAACACGGCGGGCCTGGGGATTTGCATCTGGAAGCTCCTGCTAAGGCTTTCACAAATGTGAGGATTAAATAATAACAGGTGTGCAGCGCTGCGGATCTATAGCGGGTTAAAAGGCAATAAAAGGGCACTGACCAATGAAATGGTGCATAAATAAATCTAATTAACCTCTTCATTCCAATTGTACTAATACATATAAAAAACATATCAATTCATGTGCTAAAAATATAAGTCACTTGCTTAGTAGCAACTGTATACCAATACCAATCAGAAAAAGTGCAATAAGTGCAAAAAAGGTGCTAACGTGCAATATTGGCATATGAATGTATATATATATATATATTGTAACAAGGACACTCCACTGTAGTCCGGGTAAGTCAAGTCAAATGCAGTTTATTAAAGGGCAAACACAAAGATAGCTTGCAGCAGCAGCAGCAACATAAGACAGTCTTTTAGCTGCGCTCGGTAGCTTTCCACAGCTCCAAGACACTCATGCTTGCTCACCCCTCGTGAGCCCTCACTCTGCTCACTTAGCAGTCTGTACCACAGGTCCTAGGGTCACCGACCTTCATGACCTCTCCCCTCATGGGCACTCTCCCGGCCCTCTCCCCTCATGGGCACTCACTCTGCTCTCCCAGCAGTCTGTACCACAGGTCCTAGGGTCACCGACCTTCCTGACCTCTACCCTCATGGGCACTCACTCTGCTCTCCCAGCAGTCTGTACCACAGGTCCTAGGGTCACCGACCTTCCTGACCTCTCCCCTCATGGGCACTCACTCTGCTCTCCCAGCAGTCTGTACCACAGGTCCTAGGGTCACCGACCTTCCTGACCTCTCCCCTCATGGGCACTCACTCTGCTCTCCCAGCAGTCTGTACCACAGGTCCTAGGGTCACCGACCTTCCTGACCTCTCCCCTCATGGGCACTCACTCTGCTCTCCCAGCAGTCTGTACCACAGGTCCTAGGGTCACCGACCTTCCTGACCTCTCCCCTCATGGGCACTCACTCTGCTCTCCCAGCAGTCTGTACCACAGGTCCTAGGGTCACCGACCTTCCTGACCTCTCCCCTCATGGGCACTCACTCTGCTCTCCCAGCAGTCTGTACCACAGGTCCTAGGGTCACCGACCTTCCTGACCTCTCCCCTCATGGGCACTCACTCTGCTCTCCCAGCAGTCTGTACCACAGGTCCTAGGGTCACCGACCTTCCTGACCTCTCCCCTCATGGGCACTCACTCTGCTCTCCCAGCAGTCTGTACCACAGGTCCTAGGGTCACCGACCTTCCTGACCTCTCCCCTCATGGGCACTCACTCTGCTCTCCCAGCAGTCTGTACCACAGGTCCTAGGGTCACCGACCTTCCTGACCTCTCCCCTCATGGGCACTCACTCTGCTCTCCCAGCAGTCTGTACCACAGGTCCTAGGGTCACCGACCTTCCTGACCTCTCCCCTCATGGGCACTCACTCTGCTCTCCCAGCAGTCTGTACCACAGGTCCTAGGGTCAC